TTGACTTACTCTGAACCTGAGAAGATGGCTGTGTTTGGCTGATTTTACAGAAGGAACCAGTAAGGGGCCTCATGGTATCTGCCTTAGGGAATCAGATGATTGAGCCCGGGTTTGCACCTGACCCCTTTGCACGTGACTTTGGCACTCTGCTTGACTGCATCTTACACTCCTTTTCCACACCCTATCCCTAGTGGAATGCCTGTCTTAGTATATAAACAGCCAGGCTTCCTGTACACCAGAGCTCATGGTGGCTACTAAGGGTCAAATGCCTGAGGTCAGCCCATCTCATCTCGTTGTTTTGCATGTGGTTGACCAAAGTCAGGCTCTACTCTGCCCCATTCTCTCGTCAACAAACACACAAGCACCCCAACTGCCAAAAAAAAAAAAACCTTAAAAGCGTGACTTCTGTTTCCTATGCCTCTGCAATTCAACACATTCACACACACACACATACTGAACCTCATCTAAAGACATGCAATCCTACCTACTTTTAAAGACTTACTGTTTATGTAAATGAGGCTACCTTTGCACTTCTCTGATGGGAGCCAGTACCTTGGAGTTAGCCATTTCTCTGTAGCATCCCGTGTGCCTCTGTTTGAATTTAGTTTGTCAACACACCACACAATTGAAATCAATTGGTATGATATTACTGTAAACACCGTGCGTTGAGCAGTGGACCTTTTATTGTTCTAGCTGCAAAGAACAGACAAACTGTTTATTGGTGTGGTTTTCTTCTCTAGCGCACATAATATAAATGCCAGAGTGCATTTTATAAAACAGAAATCCTTACATAACCAGGTAAAAGAAGGAAGTGGAGCTGCTGGGAAAAACTGTGTTGGGAGGATTGCTCCGGGACAGTGGGGGCAGGAACCACTTTTGTGGCCGAGGATTTTATGAAGAAAAACAACATGTCATTCACGTCACGCTCCCTTCATTGTTATTAAAATTTCATTTCCTAATTGCATGTGCCATACAATGAATTTTCATAATGCTTCAATGGGGAGTCCGATGCGTTAGTTAAAAAAAAAAAATCGTCAATTATCTCGTGCTAAGAAAGCACATTGCCAGCAGAGCCGTGTGACTGACAAGAGAGAATATGGGCAGGATGTGGGGGCCGCAGCTCTTCAATCAGTTACCATTAATATGATTCAATTTCTGCTCAAGTCATAGGTTTAGACATTACACAGCACTGTAAGCAAGGAAGGGGCTTGCATAACACAGCGAGGAAAGCAGATGGCATGTTATCAAAACCCTTCAAGCCTAAAATAACCTTCCCAAGTAAGGAGGATAGTTAATTAAAACCAGGATATATTTACTCGATTCCGAATATCTCAATGTAAATAAAAATCAAAATGACACTACTGTAATGTTGGATTAAATGATGAAATTTCATCTATTTTATTTTTCTTTAATAGTTTCTAATCAAACTTTTCATTAAGCGGCTTCATAAAAATTCCACAGAGAATTTATTTATAGGGACCGGCTGTAGATTTAAAAGGTTTACTTTTATTGTTCAATTAAAGCCGTTATTCAGTGGACAGCATTAGACTAGCGTGGAGGGGGCAAAGCTGCCTGGCAGTGGGGAAGGCTGTGCCCCAAAGCGAAGGTTCACTTCAGAGACGTGTTTTGGTTACACACGCGTAAGCCATGTTGGTGAGCCAGAGAAAAGGTGGGCTCATCTCGGTCCAAAAGAGCTCATTCCTGCTTCAAAGTCACTGGCTGGCTCCTTCCCAGCTTGGCTACGAGCTCCCATATTCATACCTTCTTATGACACACTCTAAAATTGACTAGGAGCACAAGTTAAGAGAGCGATGGTAGACCCCAGCCAATAGAGACATGACGATCGAATTGTCAACAATCTACATATTTTTTTTTTCCTAGCAGGTTTCTAAAGCATGGACCTCCATCTTTTAAAACCAGGCCGAGAAAAGGCTAGGGAGATGACTCAGTTGGTAAACGCACGCTGCAATGCAGTACCCAGATAGGGCCTATGCTTGTAAGCCCGGTCCTGGGGAGGTAGAGACAAGACAATCTCTGGAGCTTGTCTCCTAGCTAACCTACTACTGGGGAACATTCCATACCAATGAGAGACCCTGTCTCAAACAAAAAGGGGTGGGAGTTTCAGAAATGACGCCCAAGATTGTCTGCTTGCTTCTACGTGTGCACACATGCATGTGTACCCCCACATACAAGCATGCAGCCACACACAGAAGAAAAAAACCCAAAGACCGAGTTCTGATGCTATTGCAAGGCTTTCCTTGACCTTTCACCCTGACTGCTATCTCGGGCATCCAGTCCTACCCCAAACCACTGCTGAATTCCTATCCCAGTTGCTTCCCATGAGAGCCCTCATTGATTTTCTTTGTAACACAATTAGGCTTCCAGGTGTGTTAATCCTGTCTTCCCTATTTAGATTCTTAATCCTCAAAACAAACAAGGACCATATTTTATTTCTTTTTTTTTTCTTCTGCACCCCTTCTGTCACTCATGCCGTAGAAGAAAAGCAACATATCAGATCATTAAGAAACCAAATATCATCGCTCATAGAAAATGACTGACTGCACTTTGGAGAAGAAACAAGGAGGGTTTTTTTTTTTTTTATGGCGATTTTGGAATAATTCAAATCATTGATGGAGTTGTCAAACACTGTAAATCCTTTGCCACCCGCTCCACAATTCATCCACCCGGCGGCGTGGCTAATAAAGTCTGATTTTTATAGCCGAGGCATAGTGTTACCTGAATTATATTTGACCAACCCCTGAAGTCACTGGATGAGTGGCACAGAATAGATGCCGCCTAGGCAGTGCGTCTGTGAGCCCCCTGGCACTCTGGGTGACCTGACTGGGGCGCTTCAGTCTCAGGATCGTTTGTTCGGTGATAGTCGCTAATTAAATTGACGCTCTATCAACTGTTAGTCGGCTGGAGAATCCCGCTCCTACGTTTTTAACGAGTGGTCTAACCCACGTCAATTTCACATACGACCAGTTGGGAGGGTTAAAGAGTCGCCGTCTGGAAACTGCTGAGATGCGCACCTAAGGATGCGGGGGCCACACATGGGGAAAAGTGCTCAGAGTCAAGACAAGCAGCATGGCTTACGTGTGAGCGGGAGCTACTGGCAGATGAGTAAACCCTCTGAGGGCCAAACTAAGCACTGACGATGAGCTAGCTCATGACTGAACTCGCCTGCTGGAAGCTCACTAAAAGAGCCTTTATTCCAAGAGAAATTGTCTCCTCCTTCCAGAGGCTGGAGAAGAGAGACAGAATTAAAAGTGAGGTATGCCAAAAGAAAGCTCAGGAGCCCATTCACGGAGATGCTCATGTTTGCACGCCCATTTAAAATTCCTTCAGGAATGCGCCAACAACCACTGGTCATTGTTGGGTAGGAACTTCTATTTTCCAACTCTAGACAGAACGGCTTTGAAACTCAGTGACTAATAATGCCTAAATTAGCCAAAAAGGTTAAAACATTTTTTTCATTATGTGACATTGTTGAAGACTAACTTCGGATACTTTTAAGTAGGGAAAACATTCTCTCGGCTTTATTCGGTGTTAGGACTTTAGAGACTTTTTGATCAGCTGGTAGGACACAGGGTTTGGCAGCAGGGAATGTGGGTGACTTTTTTTTTTCTCTCAAATAATGAAGAGGGAGGATTTGCAAATGCTCATCTGAGAGGAAAGGGTATTTGATAATTGTGTTGGATACACTGATCATTTTAATGACAAAGCTATTTGACTGATAAAATATGACAATATAGACTTCTGTGTAGAAGGAAAATCTAATGCATACACGCACGCACACACACACACACACACACACACACCATTTGACATGCACTCACCACTTTCACGTAGTCACTATCTTTGGGCTCCAGTGAGCTTAGGTTTTTTTTTTTTTGTCCCCTTCCCACTTCTCCTTTTTGGCCTCCTCGGGCCACCAGATCCCATCCCTTCACCCTTGATCCTCCGCAGTTTACACATCCTTTGTAGCGGCCTAAGATCTCCCGAAGGCACACACTGTCAAATTGGAGAGGCCACGGTAGACTCACAAAACCATGGAGAGGTATCTTAGAGCTAATTGGGACAACGTGGATTTGAATATTCTGCAAATGAGGCATCCTTGGGGACAATGTAAGTCAACAGGATCAGGGAGGGCACTGGCTTGAAGAAAGTCTGTGTATGCGTGTATGTCTCAATCTCTGTTCCTCCTTGGCTCTCCTGATGAACAGGGTACCATCGTACCATCTATGAAGGCGATTCCAAGACAAGCAAAGAGCGTCCATGCCTCTGTATGCATAGGAACACCCAATCAATGGAGAGCCATGGGCATGATGCAATTTCTTCAACCGATGGATGGTGAAGGCAAGATAGATGACGACAGTGTCTTAGCTTGCCTTCCCTGGCACTGCGCGAGGCAAGGTCTCCAAAGATCAGTTATGATGTCTGACAGGCCCTTTGTCGAGAAGACACGTGATGAGTCAGCGAGGCCAGGATTGGACATGTGTGTGAAAATTTAAAGGATAGGGCACATCTACATTTCAATCTATATTTCATATATGTATGTATATATGCATGTATGTATGGATGCATGCATGTATGTATGTACGTACCTACCTAACATTCCCTCGATCTTTCATCTCTACCTGATAGTATTGAACAGCTATAATTTATGCCTTCTTGTAGTACCTTATAAAATTAGAAAATTTAAGCACCAATATTTAAATAACCAAAGCCATCTAAGGAAGAACATGAAAGCATCCAATCTCAAAGTCTACCTTAGAGATCCACCAAGCCCCTTCCAATTATATATTGAACAGCGAACACAAGACAGTCATCTTTCACTTGTGGTGAACGGTCACTACCGGGAACGTGAGGACGCCTTGTGCTGCAATAACACGGGGTCTGGGTGGAGTAAGGTGGCGAAGGCAAGCCCTGCTTCCCGGCACCGCTCATGGCGTGAACTGAAAAACGAGTATCGAGTAGAATAAGAGACAAACACTCACCGAACTCATCGCATATACTCTCGTTCTCTATGAGAGTAGGGTGATCAAAGGTATCCCGGCAGTACAGGATCTGGGGGTTTCTGCTGACCATTGCGATGCCCCCCAGGGCTAATGCAAACTGGTCCGTGAGGATGGATGATGGCTTATCCTGGATCCGCTTCAGCATGGACCGGTACCGGCAGTACTGAGGGTAGCTGAGCACGATCACATTGCTTTCTTCCTCATCTTCCCCTAGACAGAAAAGCAAACACATCCATTACCCTCTGCCCACCAACAAAGAGAGCTTCCACAGTCGTGACTTAATTTCAACGGTTACTTTTGCGTTGGGACTAGAGATGTCTTCTTCAGCAAAGGCCTCGTCTTTACCATGGTCTGGCAATGCCAGAATCTTCCAGAATCCCCCTCCCCAGTCAGCTCCCCATCCTCAAAGCCAGAGGCCACCCTGAGTGTAACCATTTTGTGGCTCCACTGGCATACACATTACGTGATGCTTCAGTTATTTGAGGGCAGTCAAACTAAATCTCTCCTCCCAGAGATTCCAATCTATTTTTTTTCTCATTGGTGTCACCGTGATAGGGAAACTTTGATGAGTTTTTAACAACTATTGCTTGGTTTAGATTGATTGCACGTTTTGTATATATGCACACACACATGTGTACTTGGGGTTGACAAAAATGTTTGGATCCTAGAAAAGGGTCCATAGATCTAAGGAGCATTGCCACCTGTCCTGGGGCTCAACAAACATTCTGTGTTCTCTTTATGGGCCCAGAGAAAGGCTGTACTTCCCACCCTTGGGAGTCCAGGAGGCCCTGGACTTATTTTTGGCCAATGAAATGTGACAGTAGTAGTGTCTGCTTTAGAGCCAGGGTGCCGGGGACCACCGTGTCCCTTCGTCTTTGTTCTTGCCATCTGTAACGCTCAGACAACAGACCCTCTGCCAGTCTGGGTCTTGGAGTTAAAACAACATGGAGCAGAGACCCTGGCTGATCCAAAAAGGATGCAAACACAGCAGAAACGATGCCCACGTTGTTTCTAAGGACACAGTTCGGGGGATCACTTGTTAGGAATTGTTACCTCAACTTGTTACCCCAACTTGATTGATACCACTATCTTCACCTCCCTCCACATCTGTACCCCCCCATCTTTTAATGTTTCTCATATCCATCTGGTAACCTGGCACATCCCAGAGAATCGTGCTGACAGGCTCCCCAAACATCCTCGAGAGACAGTCCCATCAGGACCATCTTAACTCAGATCCTTTCAGAAAATACCACAAATCTTCCTCTTAAATGCTCATGATGCCTAGTGATAGCCCACTATGTTTTGGGAACAGTTGCATAACCCAGATTCATCACAGAGAAATCCTTCATTCGTTTCCAGCTTGAGAAATGGCAAGCAACCCCTTCGGTAGTCTGTTACCTGCAGCCATGCCAAGCTGAACTTGGGTTTCCTGACCCACACCATCAGCGTGCAGCTCAGCCATTCCCAGACTTGTCATTTTGTACGTCCAATGGGAAAACATTGTGCTATTCGGGGGCCCTTACTGTACTGCAGAGAACTGCTTGAAACAGTTGTTAGGGATATTGACTTTATTGTGGCCATCTGGTAACCAGTGGGAGATGAATTGGGATAGAATGTAACGATGGAACGTAACCAGGACTGGGGCAAGGTGCGCACGTGACCTTTGCTGCTAGGAGGCTGGCTAGCAGCTGTAGCTCTGATTACACTCACTTAGCTCTTCAGGCTGGAGGCTCCTCCGCAAGCAGAGGTGCTCAGCTGCTTCTAGCGTGATGTCTTCAAAGGGCCTTACCCTTCTCCGACACCTGCCTGGTTTGTGGGCAGCTGTTTTAGCAGCTAGCACACTTAGAAGGTAGTGTGCTGACAGGGAAGAGAAGTCTACCAATGAAAACTAGCCCTGAGATGCAGACAGGTGGGCCAGGACAACACGCTGTGATTCCTACAGTAGACTAAGACGCCGAGTCCAAACTCTACATTTATAGATTTATTTGTTACTGATAAACTAAAGCCTGGGAAATTATAATGGAAGTACTCACCAAACACTGCCAGAACCCACAATATCTTTGTGCTGTGCCAAGGAGTGGCCTCCACGCACCACTGGCACCAAACCTGATTTCTATCTCTACACCTTATTTGTTAGATGTGAATTCGAGAGAAGACAACCAGAAACTGCCAGAGCTCACTCGGCTGGGCATGTGCAGCCCCCCTTTCACTTTTCTGGACAGAAAACCCTGCGTAAATACCTCATGATTCCCTCAATCTAGTCTGATAGTGAGTGCCTTTGACTTTCCGTGAAGACAGGAAACTCATACCAGTTTGAGAAATATGGAAGACACTGTGCTTCCCAGGGGAAGGAAGTTGAAGAAACAGTTGCTTCTGAGTTGGTGTCTTGGGAGATGCCTCTTGGGTCAAAGGTCCACTTCCCTGCTGTTCTACCCCTCAGTCTCCTGGTTTTCTTTTTCTGTTGTTTGTTTTTCAAGAAAGGGTTTCTTTTTGTGTGTGTGTGTAGCCCCAACTGTCCTGGAAATCACACTGTAGACTAGATTGGTCTTTATCTCACAGAGATCTGCCTGCCTCGGCCTCCCAGGTGCTGGGGCTAAAGGCATGAGTCACCACCACCCAACTCTGAGTAATTTTTCATGATTCTCTGTTTGGGATAGAGTTATCTTTCTGGCAAGCTTCAATGTCTAAACATGGCCTCCCCTTTGTTTTCTATATCTCGTCCTAGCTGCCAGCACCTACTCTGCCCCTCACAGTTTCTGACTTCTCATAATTACTGAAAGAGCACAAGCACGTCCATGAGGAAAGGTGTCCTAAGGATGCCCACTGTATCTGGGAACAACATTGATCAGGGTTGTCCTTGAAATACTGTCCAAGATCTCAGGGTGCCAGCCAAAATAATTGGCTCAGGTTCTCCTAGATTGGTAGACAAGAGTTTATTTTATATTTTTTAACAAACACTTCGGCCTAATTCTTGCACTCTGCACTTCCAAGGAAGTAATTCTGACTCTGAATTTCTTTTTTTGCATAGACTTAAGTGACTTACTTAAAGTTTAAAAATACATGTGTTAAAGCACAGTTGTAGTATACATAATACTTAAATGATTTATACTTATATGCTACATATGGATTTATGACTGATACATAATATATGCCGTGTACTTAAAATGTATATTATGCATGTATACCTTACTATATTGTAATATAATACATTGTGTATGACATGTTGTTATATTAAATTATATGGTACCAACATACAAGTGCACATATATTAACATAAAGTCATCTTATATATATACACACATAAATATATATGAGTCAGATATGTGTGTTTATTGTGTTTATTTTTATTTCTCTTCTCCAATCTACTAGTGCTTAGAATAAAATCCAGGGTTAAGTTCATCTGCCTCTGCTACTTTTTTAGTGATTGTTGGTAGGTATCATAGAAGATACCAAATTAAAAAAAAAACTAACAGAGACAAGATTTTCACCAAAAACACAAAGGACCAGGCACAGTGGGTGTGTTCAAGGACAGAGAGAGCTTTAATGCTATTTCTAGTACCGAGAGCAATATATTACAATTTAGGAAAATTTTTAAATAATAAAACTTTTGCCCTATAAACAGTGCTGCAATTTGTGAATATTCCCCAATATAGTGGTGACATAACTGGAGTTGCTACCAAAGTGACTAGGCGTGGGTCTCCATGACATAGGAAGTGACAGGAGGAGGCTCTGAGCCGACTTTTAATCTTTTGACTTTTGCTTGACTAACTCTGCAGTATGTCAAAATGCTTCGGATTATTATTAGTAACTAATTTATAGTGTTAATGAAGATGGTAAGCTTTGGCCAGGTAAAACCTGAGACTCCACCCACCTAGGAGACAGAATTATTCGACTCTGGTTAATAATTCCACTGGGTTAATCATCCAAGGGTATGACTTGAGGGCCTGTAATGCTCACTGTAAACATTTAAATTATTGTGATTTTCACGTAACCACTTCCTACCCATGAGATGGAAGAAGCCCGAATCTCACATTTGCCTGCCTAATACTCCGGCTCCCCCATTCCCTCATTAAACTCTTTCTACACCAAAAGGCCAAAGGCACAGCTGGGGTCTGGTCTAATGTGGCAACCTTTGGTGAAGCCAAAACAAAAATTATGCTAAACTCCATTGCTTATGGACAGAACCACCCATTTGGACCAGAATTTTGGCGCTGTTTGGATGCGGGCAAATTTCCAACTTTGGAAGTAGACATTCCCAGAGGAACTGCTTTTCATATTTATAAAGCCATAGAAAGTCCAGGAGACCCTCAGACCCTTATAGAAGTTAATAAAGGCAGCCAGGTAGGAAAGAGGAGGCAGCGTGGAAAGAAGACACACGAAGATTGTATTAACAAGTCTTGCAGATATTAAGTTCTATGATCCCTTAACGGCTTCCTAAGCCTATACATTAAGTCAGCTTCCTTCTGACACATCCATAAGAATATTAAACTGTTCAGCGGCTGGGCTGGCGTGCTTGGTTTTGCAACAGTACAATGAGAAACAAATAAAAGCAAATAAAAGAATTCAAGAATTCTTACGGAGATCCTGCAGCTAACCCATTCCCCCTTTCTCCTTTCTTTTGCTCATAAATACTCTGATACATGAAGCAAGGGCCAGCAGTAAATGGTCTGCAGTTTCCCCATCTCTGTTTCACAAGAGGTCTAGCAGATAAATCTGAGAATGAACAAAGAATGGATAAATTGCACATTTGTTTAGCAAAAGACAAACAGAGCGTTCCCGGAACAATGATTTTCTTTCAACCACACCCACATCAGAAAAGAAACTAAGGAACTAACCCTACAGAGTATTTTTCTAGAACATCCTAGTTCCTTGAGTTGTATATCCTTTTTTTTTAATTTGATTTCAGTCAGTAGAAAATGATCGGCAAAAAAAAAAAAAAAAAAAAAAAAAAAAAAAAAAAA